TAGCAATAGCAATAGCAATAGCAATAGCAGTAGACTTATATACCGCTTCATAGGCCTTTCAGGCCTCTCTAAGCGGTTTACAGAGAGTCAGCATATTGCCCCCAACAATCTGGGTCCTCATTTTCATTTCATTTCAAATCATGGGCTGTAGTGACTAAAATTGACTAAATATGACAAAATAGAGTGGGGGGGACGGGACAAATAACTGAAAAAAGATCCATATTATTGCTGTAAATAATATAAAATTAATCCTTAAACTAATCATTAAATTGTTAAATCGTTATCGTTAAATCTACATAATGCAGCAATTCCTGTGTCATTGTCTCATTTTTAGACTTTTCAAAACGAAGCTCATATCCTGGAGCCACTTTTTAAAATCAGGAAAGTAAAATACTTTCCAAACATGTAAAATTATCCACTTTGCCATAACTCAGACTTGGTAAACCAAAGCTCTTCATGAAACAATAAAATCTGTTTTAGGAATATGCTTCAGAATATAATGATGTTCTTAACTATAATATCTTTTCCCATAATTATAATAACATACAGTATATAGTAATTTGAAGGCAAAGCAAAGATACAAGTAGAGAAGACCAAATCATTGATTTTCAAACTTCTTATAACATCATTATAAAAATTTAATGTCCATCCCTTTTTAAGCATTTTTAGTGTATCGAATAAATAGGAAATAATGTTTTCTGATTATTTCATTTCATTTTTAAATCATACTTTTTATTTCTTAATACCTGGATTCATTGATTCTCCAAAAGTAAATATTCCAATGTTTCATGATTCAGATTATGTTGGTAGGTCTCCACTTACGACCACAATTGAGTCCAAAATTTCTGTTGCTAAGCAAGACAGTTATTTAGTGAATTTATTTTGCCACAGTTGTTAAATGAATGACTGCAAGTGATAAATTAGTAACACAATTGTTAAGTGATTCTGGATTCCCCCTGACCTCAGAAGGTCACAAAAGATGATCACATGACCCCAGAACACTGCAACCATCATAAACATAAGTAGCTTCCAAGGGTCTAATTTTTTTATCATGTGACCATGGTGATGCTGTAAGGGTCATAAGCAGAGGTGGGTTCCTACCAATTCGGTCCAGTAGTAACCCCAGTGGACACGTAACCATACCAGTTCTATGATCGGCGGTGCCATCTTGATTTTCTGTTCTGCACATGCTCAGAACAATCTTCATTTTAAAAATGTAATTTTTAATGGTGTGCGCATGCACAAATCATTTTAAATGAAAATGCGTACGCACCCGGAGAAATTCCTTTTACTACCGAACTTGTAGTAATGGTGGCTGGAACCCACCCCTGGTCATAAGAGTGAAAAAATGATCATTGATCAAATTTTTCAGTGCCATCATAAGAAGGCACGTTATGGTGCATTGTGGTTTTTAGTGTGATCCAAGACATAGTTAGCAGATTATGCAACAGAATCCGAGGGAGGGTGTGGAAATTAAACTTTAAAGACTTCAAATAATTCCAAAAGTCACAATCAATAGATACCTAGGCAAAAAAATATATGAAAGTCTCATCTATTTGCAGGCCAACAAAAAAAACCTCATCCAGAGCTTCTATTCTCTTCCCCTCTTCCTCATCATCGCCATCATCATTGTGCTGCCAACATTGCTAAAGGGAAGGCAGCATCTTTCAAAGCTGGTGCTCCTCCACACGGGATGACACCACCTTGCCATCCACCCGTTCTTCAATGATCATCTTCTCCCATCGGCTTACCAAAGGTTCTGCAAGGAGTGACAAAAGGCACTGTATGAGGGATGGAGGGCCGGGAGAGAGAGAGCATGGAGTAGCTAAGGTGCTAGGGAATGGATAAATCACAAAAGGGCACCTTTTAGATTGCTATTATATATACAAATACGAACCAGAGCTGTCAAATGACATTTCAGTTAAATAATTGTTTTATTTTTTTATATTTCACATTTTTGAACTACCCATCCCACTCAGAGAGTTAGTGTTTATGTCTTCAACTTGAACTACTGGAATTTTTACGTATTAAGAATCACACTTCATACAGGGTCTGCTTTACACCGTTTCAATCTTGTTGAATTTAACCATAGTATATCACACCTTTATTCTGCCAGAGAGGCTTAACCTTTATGGAACCAAATCTATTTCAAATGTTCACCGTCTAGAGAACGGCTGTCAAACTTGTAGCCCACAGGCTGGATGAGTCATGCGCTGGCCATGCCCACTATTGGTTTAGCAAAGGGAGGAAGTCGCAATACGTCATGTGACGACACCATGACGATGCAAGTTTGACACTCCCGAACTAGAGCCACCCTATTTATCCTATTGAATTTCCCCATTACTAACTCTGTATTCTCAACCCAGTTGAAATGAAACACCAGCCTCTTTCCCAATGAATCTATATAGCTGTACATGCTATGGAGCCCCAACTTTTTCCATATAGCTGTCAATCCACATTTATGATATCAGGATGCAAAAACTACATTGTACAGGTAAGAGGTGATAGCATTACTAGCTATCGATTTGCTGGATATTAGACTAGATTTTCTCTAGTTCTAATGCAAAGAATCCCTTATTTTTTCATTGAATAAAATGCATCCTCAACATATAATCTGTATCAAAGGTAGATACAAATCTTTTGATATATCCCTAAGGGAATTTGCAATGATTTCTGACTATTTTTTTTTATTTAGACATATCATTTTCTATAACAACAACAATAACAAGCCTTAGCCACAAACTGCATGAAGGCGAAAATTCAACATGTTATTACCAACAGCAAATGTTGCCTCTGTAATGAGAAAGACGAGACAGTCGACCACTTGATCAGTGGGTGCAGCAAAATTTCACAAACCGACTACCTACAACGCCATGACCGTGTTGCTAAGATCATTCACTGGAAATTGTGCCAAAAGTTTGGATTTGAGTAAAGCAAAAACTACTGGGACCATCAGGTTGAGACGGTTTTAGAGAATGAGAAAGTCAAGATCTTGTGGGACTTCAGAATTCAGATTGACATGCACTTGGCCCACAACACACAACAATAGTTGAAAAGAAAAAAGTATGGTTCGTTGACATTGCAATACCTGGGGTTGCACAAATTGAAGATAAACAGCAAGAAAAAAATCACAAAGTACCGGGACTTGCAAATTGAAGTTGAGCAACTGTGGAGAAAGAAATTGTGTGTTGTCCCGATTGTAATTGGAGCCCTTGGAGCAATACCTAAAGGGCTACCTCGCTATTTGGAAATTTTAAATTTATCAGACTTGAACATTCTGATTCTACAAAAAACCACCCTACTTGGAACAACTTATATTCTCCGACGTTACCTTAACAGTTCCTAGGTCCTTGGTTAGGACTCGAGCTGTTGAGCTACCCACCAGCCCCAAAGGCTGTGAATCTCACCAAAGATTAACCACACATAATTACTACTACTACTACTACTACTACTACTACTACATATTCTCATCTAAATTAGAAAAAAAGGAATTTTAATACAGGGTTAATAATTGAACTTTGAACTTTAATAAGATTTGTATGCTGTCACTCCCTTGGGACTCTGGGTGGCTCACAACAAAGTAAAAAACATTTAAAATATTTAAAATATTTTAAAAATACAATGTTAAAAAATTAATACAACATCCATTCCATCAGGTGGGGCTGGAAATTAATCAACAGCCCCAGGCCTGCCGGAACAGCCAGGTCTTGGTCGCTTTACGGAAGCCCGGGAGAGTGGTGAGGGTCCGGATCTCTGTGGGTAGCTCGTTCCTCAAGGCCGGTGCAGCTACAGAGAAGGCCCTCCCTCGGGGAGCCGCCAGCCGGCACTGTGTGATCTTATTGGTCGTTGGGAGGTGAATGGCAGGAGGTGGTCTCTCAGGTAGCCAGGTCCAATACCATGTAGGGCTTTAAAAGTAACGACTAGCACCTTGAAGTGGGTCCGGAGACCAATGGGAAACCAGTGCAGCTCGCGGAGGATAGATGTAACATGGGTGTATCTAGGTACTCCCATTATCGCTCATGCAGCTGCATTCTGGACCAGCTGTAGTCTTCGGACACTCTTCAGGGGCAGCCCCATGTAGAGTGTGTTACAGTAATCCAGTCTTGAGGTGACAAGGGCGTGAGTGACCATTCGAAGTGCCTCCCGGTCCAGATAGGGCCGCAACTGGTGCACCAGGCGAACCTGGGCAAAGCTGACAAATGGTGTTCTAACATCAGCTGTGGATCCAGGAGGACACCCAAATTGCGAGCCCAATTGACAGACTCCAAGTTAAAAAAAAATGTAGACAGTGGTTGTAGTACTCCAATAAATTTTGTCATCAAAACTCTTTAATTCTATACCCGTGCCGTTTGCACCCGGTTCTCCTATTTTTTTAAAAAAAACCTACAAATTGAAATTTGTTATCTTTGTTATCTTTATCCTCATAACGATGGCTCTACTTCTTGGCAATTATAATAACTCTATGATGGTCAAAGACAATATGATAATAGAAAAGTTTTAAAAGCTATAGTCTCTGAAGACTATATCCCACAGTTAAAATTATCCCATTATAATGTTTTTGAAGACTGACACAGAGATGCTTTATTTATGTCCCCTACTGATTTTTCCCCCAGTCGTTTGAAGAAGGTGTTTCATTACTCCACATATATCATACATACTAATTTTTACCACTTATTTAGTATATTTCAATTTAGACTCCTTTCAAAGATGGTGCCTGCCCTGCACTTCATTGAGAATTGAATCATAATCCATACAAGATGTGTTCACATTGCAGTTTATCAAACAAATACTGTGTCTATCAAATGATTTGCTAAAATAACAATATCACAGATTTATATACCGCTTCACTGCCCTCTTTAAGCTGTTTACAGAGTCAGCATATTGTCCCCAATAATCTGGGTCCGCATTTTACCAATCCCAGAAGGGTGGAAGTATGAGTCAATCCTGAGCCTGTAAGAATCAAACTGCTGGCAGTTAGCAGAATTAGCTTGCAATACTGCATTTTTAATCAGTGCGCCTCTACAACTAATAATCATCATCAGTAGCAAATAATCATAGGAAGTACAATTTTGTGTCAATGCTGAGATCTTTAGAGGATTCTTTCTATAGGAGACATGATAATTAAGTAAGACTGAAACTAATTTAAATTTAGAATGTAAGTATACCCACTAATGCAGGATCTGCTAAAGATGAGTTGAGCATAACAATGTCCAGTAAAAAGTCATTGTTAATTTTTTTTACAGTGTGTGATGTAAAAGCAATACTGAATAAAAGTTGAAGTCCAACATATCTGGAGGACACCAAGTTAAGGAATGCTGAGAAACGCAGAAGTGGAAACTGAAAGTATAACTTGCACCATTGACCATGCTAACTGGGTTTGTTGGAAACTTGAGTACAACTTTGGAAAACCATAGGTTTCCTGCCACTGGTTAAGGAGAGGTAAACTGAGACATCCAAACCATTGCAAGACTCATTCAACTCTAGAGAATATTCAGTGAATAAATGAAGTTTTCTTGTTAATGTTTTTCTTGTTATAGGCCTGTAGAAGAGTCTCTGTCTAAAACTGCTGCACAATTATGAACTGATTTTCATTTTGCATGTATGAATGTAGATTCCCTAAAGAGAAGCCTGAATATCAAATTAGTTAGCATACCTGGAGAAGTCGGTGGTTCAAACCTAAAAAAGAAACAAAAGAACACCAGGTTTATAAACAAGATTCTGATTTACCAAATTGTCTAATAAAGAGTTCAGGTATAATGTTCAGTTCCTACTTGAATCCCCCTTCCATTTTACAAAGAAACAGTTCATGTTGGCCTAGTATTTTGGGAGTTGCAGTTTCAATATAAGTGAAAGGCTCCAAGCTAGAAAAAGTTGGCTTACATTCACATTACAATCAGTAACAATCTTTTTACAGGATGCCTCTAGAAAACCTTAATTCTTTGCATCGTCCCTTAGTATGTCTAGAAAATACACATTTCTTTTATTGCAAGATTTTTTATTTTATTTTATTTTGCTAATGAACTCAATATGCACCAATGTAGTTACAGAGCAATAATCACTTATTTTCATGGTCTGGTATTATGTAAGATACTAATGATTTGCACAGTGTTTTCTTTAGCTAAAAAAAAACAACATGCACTGAATGTAAAAGAAGGCCAGGAATGCATGTATCTAAATCAAGCAACAGTTCTACACTTACATCAGATCCCAAGGACATACTGTGCAGCATCTCATAAGAGTGTTAGCCATGTTCAAGCAGACCTGTGAGAGAGGAGGCTGCTTAGAAAAATGAATGGCACCTGTGCTGCTTTCGTCTCTTCCCATTAAGCCCTCTCACCACACCAGCAGCACAGAAAATTATCTATAAAAGCTGTGCTGTGAAACAGCTGAAGATACACGGGGGCGGGGAGAGAAGGAGGAGCATTTGTGTGCGTGGAAATAAAGCAACCTAAAGCAGTCAGAAAGGAATGTTCTTATCTAGCAGCATGTACAAAGAGTAATAGCAGGAACTGCAATAGCAGAAGGAAGAGTAGCGGTGGGAAAGATAGTGAGTAATGAATGTGAGAGCTTGTATGGGTTGTCTAGGGTTGCCTATTCTTTTGGTGTTTGAGCCAACCAAATTAGGTATAGATTAAAAGAATTTGTCATAGGGATGATAAAAGTTGGATGTCCAAAACAAGATGAGATATCCAACATAAGAGGGTATCCTCACCGGTAAAATTGGCTCAAACTCAAGGAGTTAATTAAGTACTCTGTACCAAAAGAAAATAAACCTTAACTACAAAAGGAAGAGAGTTTGGTCCTTGCAGACCTCAGACTTTGCAGATAATAAACTAACATCCTGACTTCAGAAACCAGACTCCTCACTAGAGTCTACTACACCAAACTAAGATTGGGGTGGGGGGGGAATAGACCAACAAAAGTTCTCCCTTAGGCACAGAAGAGGCTACTGCTTTGGTAGGGAAATGTATCTACTTCATGAAATTAAGCAAAGAAGAAATTAGGCCAGCCAGAAAAGGGGTTAGGCTCAGATATTTGAAACAACAGAAAGAGGAAAAGTTTGTTAATTAAAAAAGAGAAAGAAGAGCAGCTTTGGAGTGAGAAAGAGGAAAAGTTGACAAAAATGGGAAGAGTGAGAGGCAAGAAAATAATTTAGAGAACTGATAAACTTAAAGGAATCCAGTCACTAGAAGGTCATGTTCATATCTAGAATTTTAAGAACATGCTGAGAGGGAAAGTGGTCACAAAGATATAAAAAATCCCTAATTTAAGAGAGGAAGAAGACATAGAAGCCTATTTTACTATATTTTGTTATATATAAAAGTTGCTACCTCCTACAAATGAAACTGAGATTGACTGAGGTGGCTAGATGTTTAACAGGAAAAGTTATAAAGGCCTATAATAGTCTTTCAGCTAGGGAAGTAACTGATTATTATATTGAAGAGGTATGCAGGTGCAATATAATTCTTTATAGGTGGAGGTTTAGGAGCTACGCATATGAAAAACATGAAGTATCTGTAAATTGTGAGCAAGATTGGAAGAAAGTATTTGAGGCCAGATGAAAGGTGCAAAGAATAAAAGAGTAAAAAGTTATTTTAGAACAGTTTCTATATGTGCAAGGTCCATATTTTCTTGCATTATATTTTATTTTTATTTATTTATTAGATTGATATCCTGACTTTTTCAAAGAGCTCAAGCCTTTCATTGCAGATAACATTTCCTCTCCAAGCTTTTCCCATAAAAATAATTCTCCCAGTGGCAGCTGGACTGTACAATGTGATGGTTCAAAACTATCCACTGGGTTTCCATGGATGAGAGGTGATCTTAAAGCTGGGTTTTCCCAATCCTAGTTCAGCAATTGAACCACATTGTCTGGCATTCTAATCTTACAGTAGCCAACCAGATTTCGTGGAGAAGCTCAGAGAAAACTTGAGTATCATACTTTCCAGTTTAATTTCTCTAGTGACTCATACGTTGAAGACTATACTTGAAACAATATGTAATTATCATGACTAGTAGCCATCAATGGTTTGTTTTCCAGGAATTTATCTAATTCCCCTTTGAAGTTACTCATAACTATTATCCAGCTCTGTTGCCTCCCCATTGCTTGGTCTTTTAAAAAAAAAATCTAAAGTCTCTCAAACTTCCAGCTCTTCTTCATAGGGGACTTAATCCAGCCTATAATTACTTCGGAAGCCTTATTTATGTATTTGTCATTTAATTATGTATTAAAACATTTGACAAGTAGTCAACTACAGTGGGACCTCGGGTCACGAATGCTTCTGATTATGACCAAATCAAGTGCCAATGAAAAAAATCCACTAAATGTTTTACTCTGGTCACAAATACATCCTCGGGTAACGATCAAACACAGCCGCAGCGATTTCCCCTTCTGCACCTTTTTTTGTGTGTGATCGCACAAGTGCAATCACTCTTGCTTCCAGTCATGACCAAATCGGATGCTGACTGAACAGATTACGGTCATGACTGGAGGTCCCATTGTACTTAGGAATCTGGTTTAGAAAATAGAAAAATAATGCAACAATTAAATATATTATTCAAATAACTTGAACAAAAATATGTTCCATCATTTCCAGCTTTCTCTTTCTAAATTGCATTCCATGTGGGTTCAAATAATAAATTTATACAACACATACAGTAAGGACTTTAATACCATGTAAAGTCAACTACTGATCAAAGTTGAGCAAAGATATTTTTCTGTTCCATGCCACATTCAGACAACTAGTTTTCCTCCAGGAAATTCTACTTCATCCCTCTCACTCACCACCAAGTTTCCTTACTCATTCAGCTGTCAACCAGCAATCCATGGCTGTCAGTGACTGGAGGAGAAAAAGATCCCTCTTAGGCATCATTTGTTTAAAAATCAATTCTTCGTATTCATTCAGTCCTTTCCAAATCTCCTGATATTTTCCAGTTGAGTGCAAATGTCACTGTTTGAGTTATATAAATATCAGCACTCCCCTCCCCCTAAACTGTGGGAATAGAAATAAATGGATCAACAAGCTGAACAGATGGCACTCATCCTCCCCACTCCTTACCCTTCAAGAAGACAGTGGTAGGTTGCTATCTCCTGTTTCAGTCTGTTTTTAATATCCATCAGTCGCTTGTAATCCTCATCTTGGTTCTGGGCATCCGACTTCAGTTGCAGCAGCTCTGCCTCCCGGGCAGCCACAAGGTTATGTAACTGTGACAACTCCAACCCATAATGGGATTGCACCTCAGCCAGGGTCCCCTCAAGAGCTCCTTTCTAGGAACAAAAGAAAGGTTTCTGTTTTCATTTTTCTGAAGATGTTAAATCTAAATATGCTCTGCAGGACCCAGGAAAAGCAGAGGGTATATGGAGATAATAGAAACTTGAGTCCAGCTTGCAAACATGACTTGCCTTCAAGGAGATATTATAGGAGCCTACACAAAATGTTTCAATGGGGATACTGGCTGATGGTGTCCAGAGTAACCTTAGTTTGTTTTTAATAAAATAATTTGGAAGCTTGCCTATTACAAGGAAAGTATCTTGCACATAATCTTTATTAATTTTAAAGGAACCTTTCAAGGCATCTTAAAATACAAAAAGGGGAAGCCTGACAGTGTCATGCTTGGAGAAATGACAGACAGCATCTTATGCCTTCTAAGCAGTAAAGTTTATGAAAATGTTCATAACCTGCTGTAAAACATCCAAATATGTTAATCATATTGAGGCATTCCTTCTTTGGCCCATGAGGCTACTAAGTTCATACTAATCTTTAGGTCAGTAAAACTCCTTCTGCATTTGAGACTTTTAGCATCTAATCCACAAATTTGAAAATGACTGGAACCGACCATGCTCCAAAGAGATTGCAGCTCAATCTCCAAAGCCTGGCTCAGCCGCTTCAACTCCACCATCTTCATCTGAGCACTCTGTAGAGCTTCAGTGCTGACAGAAACCTCCTGATTGAGTGCATCGCACTATAAAAAAGAGAAATTACCCATTAGATATCCAGACCACATTATCTCCCATAGGAAGAATGGGAAATTGCTATTATCATTTGTGTATGAACAGGTGTGGATATGCTCACATTGCTCACTTGTTCAGCGGTTTCACTCTAACAATTAAAAAACTTTTAACCAGGATTCATATAGGTTATATTTGATCAGAGACCTCTGTTGACTTTCAATAAAACAGGATCCAATATCATGTGCAGACCTTGGCTAGTAACATTTATTCATTCAATTATCTTGAATTATAAGCTCTCTTTCTATTCAAACTAGACTAGCATCTGAAAAAGATGTGGATATGCATGTGTCCATAATTACAATGAGTCAGATCAAATTCTCTACTAAGGTCATTCATTTTTTTGAGGCAATCTGTCCAACATTTTTATGGTTTAAATAATCTAGCCTAATGCTGATGAATGCTGTCCTTGTTTATGGTATCATTTGTTTGGCTTCTGTTGGCTATGAAGCAGCACAAGGAGTAAATGAAGAGCATTGATTGCAAGACACTTAATCTTGCTGTCATTTATTGCCAATTTCCCCCAAACTGGTTTCTGAAATTTCATAAGTCTTTATTACAGCCCAAAAATGTTTGAAGCCTAATCTTAACAGAAACTAGAACTAGAAACATGAGGTTTTTTGTTGTTTGAATGGAAATATTTTTGCATTTCTGGGTTTGCAAAGTAGAACTGGAGATGTTGCAAAGACAGCTCTTCCTGGAAGCTGCATGTAAAATATTTGTTGTCCTAAAAGAGAAACAGATATATGGCTTGGATCTCAGGGTGGTTTTCTTCCTTGTGGGTACCTCTGCCCAAACTTAACAATGAAATACACCTGAATTGGTATTTGTATTTGATATGTTCTTCATCTTCATTATTTTCATCATCATTTCAATTCTTATCCTCAACCTGTATGGGTGAAATAGATACTTGAATCTGAGTGAAAGAGTAACTGGAAGAATTACACACAAGTGTGTATGGGCTCTCCATGGTGTCAGGGCCATTATCATGACCTAATGCTGCCTGAAGCAAGACAGCGAAGCTTCCCCTTCCATTCCATATACCTAAACACAGTGTTTGGGCATAGCAGAAGGCAACAGGCTGAATAGAGTGTGAGGTGGAGTGTATTCTGGAGTCCCAGAAAGGATGGGCTCTTTCCTAGATAGCAAAGACAGCACAACTTGCTAGCAAGAAGAGGGCAACCATGGTCTCTCCTTAGCAATTCACAGAATATATCTACAGTTATGCAGATAATTGATTTAGTCTGACAAGATTCTATCTGTACACTTATCTGTAAGTGAACAGCAATAAACTTTTTAGAAGTCATTTCAGGTATTTTTTGATACTGGCTAGACCATTACATGGCACATAGCAGTATCAACCAAAATCTCATTGCTACCTCCTCACATCTAGCATCAGAGGAAATTGTGCATGCCTTTTAGGCACAAACACATATGCTTAAAAACAGAAACTTGTATCTTCCCTTATTTCTATCAACCATATCCTCTCCTTCTGAGGACACATTTCATGGTGGTGATTATGTAAATGTAGCAACACACACAAAGGGGGAAATGAAAGTATTTAGGGTGAAGGCCTAAAAATGGCATAAATAAAAAGCCTTTAACTATATCAAAGAAGGGGAATACTTGAGAACAGCTTGTTACTATGACCTGAGAATTCAGCCAAAACAAATTTCTTCTATTTTTACATTGTGCTCTTCCTAGCTCCTACAGACATATATGAGCTCATATAATGTTCGCATCCTCTCTCTTCTGAAAATATACATTTTAGTATTTTACTTTGCCAAATCTTTCCTCACCTGGGATTGGTGCAAAGCTTCTGCTTCCTCGCGGTTCTTCTCCATGACGCCCTCATACTGGTCACGGATCTCATTCAGAGTTTTTTGTAAATCAATGCCAGGCATGGAGTCAACTTCCACGTTGACAGTGGCCCCCAGATGCCCCTGGAGAGGAGCCATCTCCTATGGAGTGAAAAAAGAGCTCAGAATTTATTAGTTCACATGTCTAGGAAATCAGCCAAATATCATTTGGGGAAGAGCAATGGACAGCAACCAGCAATGTCGCAACAAAGTATTAATTACATGAAATTAAATTAAATTGTCATAGGTGGGCCCTGGGGGGGGGGACCGTTGCACTTGGAAATTAAGCAGTGCAACAGCCTGATTCTTGAAGTCACCTCCAACTGAAAGTTTTCAAAGACTGGATGTTGCGAAGTCATGTCTGACGCATCGTGACCTCATGGACAATGTTCCTCCAGGCCTTCCTGTCCTCTATCATCCTCTGGAATCCATTTAAGCTTTGGTGACTCCATCCAGCCACTTCTGTCATCCTCTTCTTCTTTTGCCCTCAGTCTTTCCTAGCATTAGGCAAGTGACAGTGAGTCCTTCCTTCTCATTAGGTGGCCAAAGTATTTGAGTTTCATCTTCAGGATCTGGCCTTTTAAAGAGCGGTCAGGGTTGCCTTATTCCAGCTTGAACCTCTGGTTCTTATCAGCTTCTCCCTCCATTTGTGACAAATTTGCATGTCCATCCCCCCTTCCCCACACCCCACCATCCTGTAGTTTATGGCAGGATGCCAGCAAAGCAAAGAAGCTGAAGATGGCAGATCTGACATTGGCTTTAAAAGTCCCTTTCCAGATTTCATCACTTTCTTCTAATTTGGCCATCATGGTCCAATGTCCTCACATATACCATGGCCCCTAATTGCTGGATTCCTCTGCTTCTTTACCCACCCACCCAGATCAATAAAACATCCCATTATTTGTCCCATCACTTGGACTATAAAAGGAAAGTGATAGTCTCATCAATTTCAGCTAGTTAAAAAGGAGAAAAAATACACATGAAGAGTTTCACAATTCTATCAGTGAAATTGTTTTAAAAGTCCAGCTTTTCACAGTCACGCTGATTTTTAAAAATGGTAGAGGAAGCCAACAATCAATGAAAGTATGGAAGGCAATGTTTTAACCGTAGGCCAAAATAACTAACTAGATAGAAATGTTTGTCTACATTGAAATGAAGGACAAGTGAGGCAGACAGTAACATATCCCACAGCAGAAAAGAGTCAGCAGAGGTGTCTCCAATGGTGGATCAGGAAAGGACAATATCACACATTCCTATTCTCAAGATACAGTCTGTGGCCCTTGTATTACAATATGTGGATCACCGTTATGACTCTCTTGGGTTCAAAGATTAAAATTCAAGTCATGTCAGCATAGTTTACTTTCATTGCTTTTTAATTCCATTTTCCCTCCCATCCATTCTTCCAGTCCTACCTCTGAAAAAAAAAGGCTCTATTTTTCGGCTGTTGAGCATGTTAGTCTTATTGTATCAATTTGGCCCTGCCTAAATAATATAGAGGGGAATTTTTTCAGTAAGCAGCAAGTAAATAGAATGTTCAAGCTATTTTCATAAGGCCCTTCAACAAACCTTATGGAAGGATCTTAAAAGTGCCATTCCTTATTATTTAGAAAGTCGGGCTGTGCAAAAGATAGAAGATGCCTGGAGCACACAGAGGCATCAAGCCACACCTTTCAACAACTCCTTAAAGCAACTGCTTCGTTTCCTAGAATGATGTGGTTGCTTTCTGCAATAACAGTCCCATCATGGAAAATATTGTATTTGTTTTAAAGAATTGCCAATAGATGCAATTCTTACATATATTCTGAAGCATCTTTTTTCCTTCAAATTGAACTTTTTGTAGGCCCAGTAGGGAAAAAAAGAGATTATTTTAATCTGTGTTCCTTATTATTTAGATTCCAAACTCAGCCTAACAAAAGAAACAGCATGATAAACATTTGTATTCCAGCAGCCATGTAATTAAAAGAACTTCTATTGAAACATTGTGTGGCAACATTGATCCAGGAAGTGTAACGCAACTTGCATAATATCATGGACAAATTTCACACAGCTATATCCATATTTACCTCCTTGTGGTTTCTTTTGAGACAGGCCAACTCTTCTTGGAGATTTTCAGCTTGCACCTGCAAACTAGCTCGACTTGCATTCAATTCTTCTAGGGTCTTACGCAGACCCCCAAGGTCTCCCTCCACAGACAGGCGCATGGCTACCTCAGATTCCAGCCTACAAAGGCAAAAGGGTCCACTCAGCACATTTTTAGCTATGATTCTTGATCGCTACATAACTGAGAACATCAAATGCTTCTGGATGCATTCTGTAAATTAGTCCTTTGGAATTAACTTGGTTGAAAAGGTTTTGCCCTGTGATGCACCGTTTCACCCAGTTACAGACAAGAGAGCTTAGTATATAGATCATGCAAGCCAGCCGTGGGGGACTCCAGTCCATCATTTATGAACAGGCTAGAATTAAATGGATATGAAGTCCCAAACATGGCACAGGATCACCTATGTGCTTATGCACACTCTGTACCTACAATAGTGGCCAAAACTGTGGAAACCTTTTGGGAAAAGTATATTTTTGAGGTTTGATGGCTAATAACACCACTTTTTAAAAAAATTTCAAGACAATCATATTCCACTGCTGGAATTGAAAATTTATGGAGCCGACTAGAGAAACTTGTTAGTCAGAAGCGACCCAGCAATAAAACCCAGTAAATAGAAACAATCATTCAATCTTGGTTTCACATTGTAACAGCTGCAGAATTAAAAAGCTTGGTTCACTTCATAGGAAGACATTGTAAGGCCGTAATTCATGCTTTTAAAGGTTACCCAACTAAGTATTAATTGACATGGTGATAATTTTTGTATATCTCATTTTTTCTATGGTGATCAATTTTGTATATCTTGTTTCGCTTTTCTTCTTTATAACTGCTATTCTAATAGCAAATCCCTCATAAACATTATTGCATTACGTTCTTGATTAAATTATCTTTCCATTGATATATAATTTTATGGTAGTACTCCAGAAAAAAGGTGGTAAAAAGGTCAGTTTTAGAAAATATACTTTTCCCAAAAGGTTTCCACAATTTTGGCCACTACTGTAGGCTTTATCTAATTAATGCTTTATGATCTCTCAATACACATTTTTGTACATCTTCTCTTACCTTTCTTTTTTCTGAAAAGTATGTACAGTGCTGAAGCCCAAGGATAACTACATTGTGACCAACATATAAAAGAGGTGTGAAACTGGCTGATTTGTTTTCAAATGTAGATCAGATTAAAATACGAGCATCTCCGCATAGAATTGTAATCAGTTGTTTGAGTGAGTCATCCTAATTTTAATTCTTTCCTGTTGGTGATAGCTTTTCAATATTAAATGTTTCTTTAAGGGCACAGCTAATCTATCACATTAATGTGCTGACCTCTAGTCTGTGAGTTGGTAGAAAAGTATGTCACCATCAATGATAAATGGTAATTGAATAAGGAAAAAAATCCTATCTAGTTATCATTTCACAAATTCCTTTTTGCAGCCTATATAGCCAACAACCCAGGTTTTTGCTTGCTATCGGCTATAATAGCTGCTCACACAGAGAGGGGGAAATTAATCATGTTTTTTACCTTGTACCTGTACCTAAATTGCTGATTTAAAGAATCATTAAATATTTGCATAATATCAGGATGCGAACAAAAACACAGGTACATGGCTAACATTTTTGTTTTTTAAAATCAAGAAACCTACTGTGAAACAAAATGTGTGTGATGAAAAAGTAAAGGACAACTGATTAATTAAACTTACTTCACCCTGAAATCATCAGAAGCAAGTCTGGCATTATCAATCTGTAAGAGCAGTCCAGCATTTTTCAAAGTCTCCTCCTGAATCTATGAAAAAAAGGGGGGTAGATTTCAAAACATCATCATAGAGAATACCATTTAGCAAGAAAAGTCTTAAATATACTAATTATTCAATTCTGAATAATGTCAGTGCAGGACTCCAAGATAAGAGGTGGGCCCAATATTTGATTCCTGTTTTGTTTATTTAATTTAGGATATGGTATTTATAGAGGTCATGCAATCACTGATGTACAACACTAATAAAATAGATATGTACAAATGCAAATAAAAGTTTAAGTAAAGTACTAGCATAGAGGTGAAGAGGAAGGTTTCCTTGGAGAGAGAGACAGGGAGGGGGAGGGAGGGAGAGAGAGAGGGAGGGAGACTGACTGACTGTCTTTCTGACTGACTCTCTGTCTGTCTGTCTATCTGTCTGTCTGTCTGTCTGTCTGTCTAGCTGGGTTCCAAGTAACACCCCCAACAAAAGAAGACTCTGAGGCTTGAGATTCCTCAAAGTCCCATTTTGTTAGAGATGTCATATTGGCACCTCTGGGAAAACCTGAATCTCAAAGTTTCCAGGTTTTCCCCACCCGAATGAAAGTCCAAGTCCCTTCCCAGCACCCACATGTCCATCACATGGCCCAATCAGGCACCATCCCACTGGAGATACCTCCTAGTCATGCCCTTCCTGGTGCAGAGCAAGATGTCCTTGACTTTTTGTCCAATATTTTTGTGTTTCCGGGCAGGTCCACCATACGTGATAAAAAGTCCCTTGTACTTTTT